AGATAAAATTCAGTAAGTGTGTTCAATACTTTTTCCATGTGCCATTCCACATTATTACAAATAACTTCATTTCTGGACATTTATGGTTGATTTCTTTGTATGCATGGATCACTTGGGTTGTTACCGACATCTGGTGAAAATTTCATGTCATTAGCACCTCTAGTAATATATTTACTGAGAAAAATGGTGACMTGTTCAATACTTATTTTATCTGCTGTATGTGAACTTACTTCTGCAACATAACATCAACCCTAACAAAATTATAAAGATGGGAAAAATATTAATAAAATCTGCAGAAAATTTGATCAATATGTTAGTAACAATTAAGTCCTGAAATGACCTTTCTAGCACTAGATATGAGTTAGTACTAAGACAGCCTCACTGCTCCTGTACTAACTGCACAATAAAACTAAGCCTCCAAAAGAGAGCAACCTCAAAAGAATCCAAATAAACTTCCAAAAATCTGAAGAAGCCAATTCCATAGTTATGGAAGCTGCTTTAAGTAAACAAGAACATTACAATTTTAAACAAAAGAACTYCCTTTATTCAGGTTCAACCTAAAATGGATGCCAGCCATATTCCACTACATCACTGATTACACTGATCTCAAGCGAGCGTGCACTGAAGGGATTTACCAACTCTGCAGAGTCATCGGGTGGGAAGTAAACACTCCCCTAACCTAACCCAAATTAAATTATGTACTGCTCTTGAAGCCTTTGGAGTAAATTCACAAGCCTGGTGTCTATGTAAAGCTTTCAGTCAGAATTTTTAACTTCAGCAGTCAGCATTATTATAACTGTAACTACTAGTATTTAGTTATTGAAGTTAAAATGCACTATAACCATCTTTTATTCATTCATTTCCAAAGCTGCCTATTAAATAAGTGGTCATTTGATTGGCTACACAGTTGTGGTGTCAGAATGAAGCTCAGAGCTGATTGGCTGATTCTAGTCCATCAAACAAATGTAATCATGCACAGGTGGGAAATGCGGGGCTTGCCACACATTTTGTGCCCTTGAGAGCCTACAGTTGAACCCAGTTGAAGTGTCAAAGGAAGACAACCAATCGAATTGTTTGAGCAGCCTGCTCTGTAAATTCCAAGTCCCTGGTAGCATGGGTCGGGCTATAAAGKGGCAGGAAGTAAGCACAAACTGGGAATGTAAACATGTCCTGAACATGACTGTCTGTGATGTAGCTGTAGGGATCCAGTGTTTTGTAGGACTCCAGGCTCTCTCTGGAATAGAGACTTGATGTCTTGTTCAGGTAACAATGGAGGTTTGGCTCATTTTGTCTCATTTATCCACTCACCTGCATGTAATGCATGTGGTTCATCAAAACGTGTCCCATTAACGTAACTTATTTTATCACTTGGTGATAAATTGTTGTAAAACGCTGAGAACACTGCTAGCTAACGCTGCAATGAACAAATAATCCCTCTACAGAAATAAACTTTAACTTGATCTGAACCACCGCTTAAGGCTGAGTCACACTACAAGATTTTAAAACAGTCGGCCGATTTTCAAAGACCGATACAGCCCACACGTGAGGATAAAAATCATGGATAGACCAGGTTTGGTCCTACAGTGTGTGGTGTACAGCCACACAACAAGAGACAACACACCACACACGAAAATATATTTCATTCATGAACACTCAGATGTCAGATTTTAAATCACATGAGACTTCCTGAAATCTCGCGAGAATTCAGATGTCCGAGGAAAAATCTCACGTGACCTCCAGAGAAGGCAGCACGGTGGCTCAGTTGGTAGAGCTGATGCCTCTCAGCAAGAAGGTCACTGGTTCAAATCCCGGTCCGGGGACCTTTCTGGGTCGAGTTTGCATGTTCTCTCCGTGCATGTGTGGGTTCTCTCCGGGTACTC